AAAAAAATATAGAGAAAGCACAAAAAAAAAAAAAAAAAAGAGGCATGGTTGGGTTAGCACCAGGCCCATCTGTATGGCCTAGAGACAACCAGGCTCAAACAAAAAAAACACAGGGACTAATCAGCAATAAATATTTAATTAAGGGACTGGTTGGAATAAAATTATAAATCAAATGACTAAAGTATAAACATTTGGATAAATTGACCAAAAAAATCACTTTTTTTTTTTTTTTTTTGAGAAATCAGCATCGTTTCAAGCCAAGAAAAAAAAATCACAACCACGCAATTTTAGTTTACTGTAGCAAGGCTCGACTGCGACGAAACCATATATTGTTTAAATTATTTATAATGACTTGCTTAAAACCCAATAACACATGATGCGTAAAATCCAAAGCATTTCAAGAATAAAAAAACAATTTTCGTGTTTTTACATTACTGAATTTTAGTCATATCAATCCCTCTACTCAATTTTGTTCCATATTAGTCTTTTTATTTTAACTTTTAGGATTTGTTAATCCTTCCATTTATCTTCTTGACGGAGCTCCGTTAGTTTTTTTTTTTTTTTTGGCACAAAACTTTGATTTCATATACTAATTATTTCTAATCCCTTTTTAATCAGATTATTAAATCAGTCTAACTTTGAATTTCTCAAATACTTAGTAGCATGAATCTTATAATCTAGTAAAACACGGTGATCAGGAATGTTATTAGTAAACTTTAAGGTTGAAGTAGTTCAAAGGGAGGAAGTTTCTGATGAATTTCATTAGCTAGTAATAGCAAACATTCTAATAACATCTCTTCCTTGCATGGGTCAAGCACACATCCCTTTCTTTTGGAGTGAAGGGCAAATTACAAGCACTAAATATTTGAATTTGGATTCTTCAGTTATCAATACAGGTGAATCTGAAAGACAACATAGGTTGTTCCAGTAATTAGAAGTTGCTTCAGCATACGCGTCAACAGACACTGAGTCTTTAATTTCTTGGGGCAATCTTAAGAAAACCCACTCTCCAATCTCCATATCAAACTGGTGTACGTATTTGGAGAAGTTTAATAAATTTTCCTAGAAAATCCTATCCAGTAAGATTTTGGGATACCTGCAGAAGATTCAGTGCTAACTGGAATTTTCCACAAAGAAAAATCATGAAGAAAGAAAGTCTTTGCCTTCGTTTACTACGTGGATGGAGACGCATTTCTGCCAACTGCAATGCTCAGAACATAAAGGAAAACGATAGACCAGGTCTAATTCTAAACCTTAACTAATTTGTTGGACCGAAAATGAAGACTTGGAATCTTCAATGTCTAATTGCCCAAAGTATTGCTCGGCATTAATTAACAAGGAACCAGCCTCGCTATTATATATATTATCAAGTTTCCTGTTCATTTAACTAAATCCATCCAATTGCATATTCCAAATTTCCAATTGTTGCGAGCAATGGACTCTAAATTTGCGTTTGCATTTCTGCTGTTCTACTTCCTCATGTCCTCTCATTCTGTCATATCTCAGACAAGTGGTAAAGTTAACATCGGCGAATCCCTTGTTGCCATGGATCAGAATCTTTCTTGGCTTTCTCCTTCCAAAGATTTTGCATTTGGATTCCGCCAACTAAATGACAATGATGATTTCTTCTTGCTTGCCATATGGTATTACAAAATACCTGACGGAGACATAGTTTGGTATGCAAAGGGAGGAAACCCTGCACAGAGAGGATCGAAGGTTGAGCTAACTGCTGACCGTGGGCTAGTACTGAAAGATCCTCAAGGCACAGAGATATGGCAATCGGATTTCGGCACAGGTAGAGTCGCGTATGGTGTGATGAATGATACAGGCAACTTTGTGCTTGTCAATATAAACTCTGAATCTCCAGCATTATGGGAGAGCTTTAGCCATCCAACCGACACCTTGTTGCCTACTCAGGCAATGAAGATAGAAGGGATTCTTTCTTCTAGGAAATCAGCAACCAACTTCTCTCAAGGAAGATTCCAGTTCAGATTGCTCAGAGATGGAAATGCAGTTCTCAATGCAATAAACCTGCCCTCCAATTACACATATGATGCATACTATATCAGTGGTACTTTTGATCCTGAAAATTCATCAAATTCTGGTGTCCAAGTGGTCTTAGGCGAGTCAGGCAACTTGTACGTACTAAGAAGAAACGATGAAAGGTTCTATCTTACACCACAGGATATAGCTCCGGTGAAGGATTATTATCACAAAGCAACCCTCAATTTTGATGGAGTCTTCACAATATCTCAGCATCCAAAGAATTCCTCGAGTAACGAGACCTGGAGAGTCATTAAGACCATACCAGAAAACATTTGTTTCTTGATCTTTGGAAAAGAGGGGAGTGGGGTTTGTGGCTTTAACAATGTCTGCAAACTCAAGAATGATCAAAGGCCAACCTGTGAATGCCCACCCAGTTACTCATTACTCGACCCAGATGATAAATACGGAAGCTGCAAACCTGATTTCATTCAGGGCTGTGAAGAAGATGGGCAGAGTCCTCAGGAAGATTTATACACTTTGAAGGACATGCCAAACACTGACTGGCCAACATCTGATTATGAGATATTTAAGCCTTATAGTCCAGCAGACTGCAGAGAGTCTTGTCTGCAGGATTGTTTATGTGCTGTGGCTGTGTCAAGAGGAGATGGCTGTTGGAAGAAGAGGTTACCTCTCTCGAATGGGAGAGAAGATAGAGCAGTTACTAGTCTGGCTTTTCTTAAAGTAAGAAAAGCTAATGCCACATTGCACAACCCTCGTTTGCCTCCAAATGCAGAGAAGAACCAAGATAATTTGATCGTTGTTGTATCAGTCTTCTTGGGTGGCTCAGTGATTGTCATCTTCTTATTGTCTGGTCTCTTATGTTTAGGATCTTTCCTCTATCACAAGAAGCACACAGAAAACCACCAACAAGAAAGGTCCATGGGAATGAATTTGCGGTGTTTGACCTATGAAGAGCTCGAGGATGCTACAAATGGATTTAATGAAGAACTGGGAAGAGGATCTTTCGGCGTTGTATATAAAGGTGTAATAGGAACTGGTTCCACAGTCCCTGTTGCTGTTGCAGTCAAGAAGTTAGACAGATTAGTTGAAGACGGCAATGAGGAATTCGAAACTGAAGTCAAAGTGATTGGCCAAACACATCATAAGAATCTTGTTCGACTGCAAGGGTATTGTAATGAAGGACGGAACAGGTTGCTGGTTTATGAGTTCTTGAGCAATGGTAGTTTGGCAAGCTTACTCTTTGGAGACTTGAAACCAAGTTGGCAACAGAGGACCCAAATTGCCATGGGGATTGGGAAAGGCCTCTTGTACTTGCATGAAGAATGCAGCACCCAAATCATCCACTGCGACATAAAGCCACAAAACATACTTCTTGATGGCTCCTACAATGCTCGGATTTCCGACTTCGGATTAGCAAAGATTTTGATGCTCAATCAAACACATACAAAAACCAACATCAGAGGCACAAAAGGGTATGTTGCACCTGAATGGTTCAGGTCTATGCCAATCACCGTAAAGGTTGATGTGTACAGTTTTGGAGTCATGCTGCTCGAGATCATTTCTTGTCGAAGAAGTGTTGATATTGAAATTGGTGAGAATGACAGAGAAATTCTAACATACTGGGCTTACGATTGCTTTCTCGGAGGCAAAATTGATGCTTTAGTTGAGGACGATCCAGAGGCCTTAAGTGATATGAAAAGGCTAGAGAGGTATGTGATGATTGCCCTTTGGTGCATTCAGGAAGACCCCTCTCTGAGGCCTACCATGAAAAAGGTTATGCTGATGCTTGAAGGAATTGTTCAAGTTACCGTCCCACCATGTCCGTGTCCATTCAATAGCACGATAAGCTAAAAATTTTTGTTTTTCAGACAACATCAGTGTTCTTTAGCAGTTGACCAATAATAATCGGACTGCATATATGTAATTTCAATCTGCACCTTTTTTGCATCAAAACTAGATGTCAGAGTACTCAATAGTTTTATAAAGAGACTCAACAAGCTATTGATAGATTCCAAAAAAATACGAACTATAGATTCAACTAATAACTGTTATGTCATGTAACGAGTTGATAACGATTTCGAAACACCTTTATTATCTTTATTCGGTTTAAAATAACAATAGTGATTATTATTTTATTATTGTAGTAAGTTATGATCAACGATCACCACTATCGTTTTTTCAACCGTATATATGACTTAAAACTATAATGCAAAACTATTTAATGGAACAAAAAAATACAAGCACATAGATCACAGGGCACATTAATTTGCAACCCTATTGATGGTTCAAATGTGAGCCAAACCTATTGATTATGCACAGTCAACACATGGGCCGGATAGTACTTGCATGGTGTGATCGTGCCCTTTGGATTCAAGTTCAATAATTTTTCAAATAATATTAGGAACTTAAGATTAAACTAGCATATTACGGGCATGTTGCTACCAATAAATCTATTATATAATATGTTTTAATATTTTAAATAATTTTTTAAAAAAAGGATGGATTGAACTCACACTAGGCCCACGTGACTAGGCTAGAAACAAAACTCGATCATAAAAAAATATAGAAACCTTCTAGTAATAATAGTTATAGTTAGAAACTCTTTTGTATAAAACAAAATTAACTTGAAAGACCGAAGTGTAAGAAAAGGGCCAAAATAATTATTAAAAAAAATCATTTTTTGGAAAACAACGTGGTTTCAATAAAAAAAAAAAAAAACAAAAAACAAAAACCAAAGCCCTTGTAGTTTACTGCATCATGACTTAAAACAAAGCCTTTTTGGTTCACTGTAATGAAATTGACATGAGTTTTCTTTTCTTCCAAGGATCTAACTACAAAGTCTTTCCACCGAAAATAATCTAAGCAACATGAAGTTCCATCCCTCCAAAACAACTTTTCCACAATCATCTCCAATTTGACGCTTTCAAATTTGTGTTGATTCTTGACTAGACGGTAGGCATCTTGGAATTTGAATAGCACATCTTAGAAAGCAAATGGTTAGAGTCCTCGTCAAAAACTAAAATCTTTAAAGAAGTGGGGCACCCTCTAGGAAATAGCACTACCAAAAATTTGAAAAAATCTCTAAGTCTTGCAGCAAACGTAGGCCATAGATCTGTTGCATGATTAAAGATAATCTCAGTCCTATTTTCTTGACCAGGACTTGGATTCCAACGTTGTAGTGAAGTTATCCATTGACCAGAAACCTTCATCAGTTTTCCTTAGAAACGGCCGACACATGACTTTACTGGATCTCCTTGAGAGGAATCTAGGTGAATTCTTGTTCTATTCATTGATATACCATTAACTGTTCTTGAAATGGTAAAATGGGGCGGAATAGATGGAGAAGAGTGTTCAGTTTCTGCTAAGAAAAAATAATCATCAAAGTCCTCTGTCTTGATTATCTAGAATGTTTTGCCACATTTTCTAACAATTACAAAATCTTATGTGTGATCTCAATTAAGTTCTTATATCACCTTTTAATGTTTCAAAGAAAATTGTCTTTCCTGTGATGGCTATCCTGCTACCATATTCTTCTTGTCTTTTAATTATTTTCATACAGACACAACCATTTCCAGCCACTGCTGAATTTTACAAAGAATATACCTTTAGGCTTATCTCTCACTACCTCAAACAACAATGATTCCTGGCAATCAACATCCGGTGAATTGGCATTCGGTTTCCAGCAGGTTGGAGATGATGGCTTCTTATTAGCAATCTGGTTCAACAAAATACCTGAAAAAACCATTGTTTGGTCAGCCAACAGAAATAGTCTAATGCAAAGAAGGACTAAAGTTAAGCTCATGGAAGATGGCCGATTAGTGTTTAATGACCGAAAAGGCAAACAGATATGGTGTGCTGATACTGCCTGTAGCCATTCTTGACACCGGTAACTTTGTGCTGGCAAGACACGATTCAGTCAATTTGTGGGAGAGCTTTGGAGAGCCAACTGATACTCTATTGCCTACACAAATTTTCAGTCGAGGGAGCAAGCTAGTTGCTGGATACTCCATAATGAATCGCTCAACGGGAAGATTTCGGTTCACTCTACAAGCTGATGAAAATCTTGTGCTTTACACCCTAGATTTCCCGGTAGATTTTGATAATTCTGCCTATTGATCAGCTCAAACTAAAGGCAATGGCTTTAAGTTAATCTTCAACCAGTCTGGAAACATTTACCTTGCAGCAAAAAATGGAAGCATACTAAAAATGCTTTCATCTGAATCTACAACAACTCAAGAATTTTACCACATTGCAGTTCTTGAATACGATGGAGTTTTCAGGCATTATGTCTGCCCTAAGAGATCCAGTCCTGATTTCACTGGGTGGCCTCCTAAATGGTCTTCCTTGTCCACCTCCATACCTCGAAACATCTGCATGAGACTAAAGAAGATTCCGGTAGTGGAGCTTGCGGATTTCAACAGCCTACTGCAATGTACGTCATTAACACTAATTGTGAGAATTTATTTAATTTAATATATATATATTCCATAATTGAGTTTAAATATATCATAAAAATATGTTTTCTTTTGATCAATAAAAATATAAAATAAAAAAATAAAACTTGCAATTAATTATTTTTAAAAAAAAATCAATTTATATTATAAGAATGTTTAAATTTAGTTAATGAGTCTATAAAAAAATAAAAATAACCATTAATTATGAAAAAAAAATTTTGAGTGAGTAATAAATAATAAAAAATAATAAAAGCATAAAAAATATTTTGAGTAAATAATAATTAATGAAAAAAATATATGGAAAAAGCACAAAGAGAGAGAGGTTCGGCTAGGTTAGCACTGGGCCTATCGGTTTGGGCCTGGAGACAACCAGGTCCACGAGACTAGGCTGGAAGAGTGGCCCAACTATAAAAAATATAGGGACCTATAGGGACCTATCTATAATAAACATTTAATTAAGAGATCCGCTGGAATAAAATTATAAATCAAAAGATCAAAGTGTAAAAAGGTGGACAAATTGATAAAAATCACCCTTTTTTTTTTTTTTTTGTGGAAAAACAATGTCATTACATGTTAAAAAACGACGTCATTTTAATTCATCCTAGCAGAGTTTAGTTACAATGAAACCATATTATTGTTTTAGATTATTTATAATGATTTGCTTAAAACTCAATACAAAAGTTAATCTAAATGTACCATATGATGCATAAAATCCAAATTATTTCTATAATAGCAAAAAATAATTTTGTGCCTTTACATTATTGAATTTCAGTAATATCAATCCCTATACTCTATTTTAGTACATACTGGTCTTTTTATTTTAACTTTTAGGATGCATTAATCCTTCCGTTTATCTTCTTGACGGAGCTCCGTTAGTTTTGATCTCATGCCAATGCCATCGGTTGATTTTTTAAGAAAATAAATGATTTTTTATTTGTAATGAAACGGGGAAAAAGGAAAAGGAAACCAAACCCCTTGAGTTTTTTTTTTTTTTTTTTTTTTGCCACAAAACTTTGAGTTTTATTTGGACTATTGGACTATAATCCTGACAAATTAGTGCAACAATTACTATTGAATCATTTTTTTCTCTTTTATTAACAGTCTAATCCCTTTTTAATCAGATTATTAAATCAGTCCAACTAAATGTCTCTATACTCAGACATACTTATGACTCGGGTTTAATTTTGAATTTGTCAAATACTTTGTGGCATGAATCTTATAATATAGTAAAACACGGTAATCAGGAATGTTTTAGTAACTTGCCATATGGACCAGGATGTTTTTCTAACTTGTCGTGTGGATCGCTAACGTGATATGATCAGGAATGTTTTAGTAGCCTACCATATGGACCAGGATCATCCAGAAAATGAACTTTTTTTCCTGCAAAAACCATAATGGCTTGCATCAATCTCCTATGCGTAAAGAAGATCATATAATTCTTGCAGACTGGTCATATGATTGCTGTAAAGAAGGAAAGTCAGACATTTTAGTAGAAGAAGATGAAGAGGCAATGGAAGAAATGAAAAGGGTAGATAGGTTTGTAACGGTAGCAATTTGGTGCACTCAGATCTTTAAGACCTGGAATGAAGAAAGTTTTACAGATGCAAGAAGGAGCTGTTCAAGTGTCTATTTCTCCTGACCCTGCGTCATCTATCAGCTCAATCCAAGTCCTTTTACACATGCATCATGGTCTAGATCTTCAGGCTTCAGACTCCAATTTTTAACACAAATGATGATCATTAATAAGATTTCCTCAAATTTTCTTTGACCTTTTCAATTTGAATAATACAGGACTGTTTATATTATGTATACTATAGAAAACATATATCATGGGCTATTGCTATCCAGTCATCCCTTTATTTATTTTTCATTTGTTGCATCTGCAGATTGGGACATGCAAGAAGTTAATCTTGAATGGACTGTCTATATATACTGTCAAGAGGATATTGTGTTAGCGTTATAATAATGAGATTTAGCATAAAGAAAACGAAAAGATATAGGTAAATAGCATCTTCTGAGAAAGTAAAAATATGAAGCCGCTATATTTATTTTCTAGTCTAAGAATAATTTGATTCAGACTCCCATTAATTTGTTCGTTGAATCTCCTATGCGTGCAATTAGACTAAAATGACTCTGAAGTCTTTTTGAGTAGTATTTGGGTCTTGAAGGTAGTGGGAATTTTCCACAAAGAAAGAAAGTCTTTTTGAGTAGTATTTGGGTCTTGATAATAGTAAGATTTGAAGCCGTGACCTCTTGTTATAAGAGACCCGCACCACTGATCTAAGCAAAGAGCTACAATAATACTCGCATTAAATGATTTCAAAGTCTTTTTGAGTAGTATTTGGGTTTTGTTTATTCAAACCAGCAGAAGATTCAAAGCTAGTGGGATTTTCCACAAAGAAAAGTCAAAAAGAAAGAAGTCTTTTTCTTCATTTAACATGTGGATGGAGACACATTCTGCCAACTGCAATACTCAAAATCAGTAGAGCAAAAGGTTCTTGCCTTAAGTTCTGCAATTTCTTAAAGAACACCATCTTCACACCATGGATTTTTCGCTACCGCATTCTTTTTGCTTCTTTTTTCTTCTGCTGCTGCCATTTTCCACCAACGTTCAGACATACAGAAACATTTCTTTGCGCTCATCTCTCACGGCTGAAAATGATAACTCTTCTTGGACTTCACCATCTGGGGATTTTGCTTTTGGATTCCAACAAATTGGCGATGCTGGCTTCTTACTAGCCATATGGTTCGACAAAATACCTGGAAGAACCATAGTCTGGTCAGCTAATAGAAATAATCTAGTTGAGAGGGGATCAAGAGTACAATTTACCACAGATGGTCAGTTGGTCCTAGATGACCTATCAGGCACACAAATATGGAGCACCAGTGGAATTGGAGCTGCCTATGCAGCCATGCTGGACACTGGAAACTTTGTGCTAGCAAGCCAATCAGCTGCCAATTTGTGGCAGAGTTTTGATGAACCAACAGATACAATGCTACCCACACAGACTCTGAGTCAAGGTCTTGCACTATTTGCTCCCTACCTAGAAATGAATTATTCAGACGGAAGATACATGCTTATTCTTCAAACTGACGGGAACCTTGTCCTGTACACCACACGTTATCCATCAACTACCAATAATTTTGCCTATTGGTCTACCCAAGATTCTATTGGCAGTGGTTATCAGGTGATCTTTAACCAGTCTGGCTATATGTATCTAACAGCAAAAAATGGTACTATGATTAATCCTTTATTCTCTGATTCAGTAACAATCCAAGATTTCTACCAGAGGGCAACCCTTGACTATGATGGAGTTTTTAGGCACTATGTCTACCCAAAGACTACTGCTTCAAGCAGAAACTGGGCTCTGGCATGGAATACATTGTCTTTCATACCATCAGATATCTGCTTGAGAATTGGGGAAGAAGAAGGCAGCGGAGCTTGTGGTTACAACAGCATTTGCAGATTAGGAGATGATCAAAGACCAATGTGCCAATGTCCTCCCGGTTACAGTTTCGTGGATCCCACTGATGAGAGGAAGGGATGTAAGCAAAACTTTGTTTCACAGTATTGTGACCAACCATCACATGGAACGGATGACTTCAAGCTCGAGGTGATGCCTAACACAAATTGGCTTTATGGTGATTATGAACATTTTGGTTCAAAGAATGAGGATTGGTGCAGACAGGCTTGCTTGAGTGACTGCTATTGTGCTGTTGCCATTTTCAATAATGGAGATTGTTGGAAGAAGAGAATCCCTCTTTCGAATGGGAGAATAGATCCAAGCGTTGGTGGAAAAGCCCTGATAAAAGTGAGGAAAGGCAACTCGACTGCAGGTTCAAGCGCAAAGAAGAATGATCGATCAACTTTGATCATAATAGGCTCAGTACTTTTAGCTGTGATCTCGTTGCTAGGCATCTATGTGTTCTTTTCTCGATTGAACCGACAAAAACCAAAAATGATCGAGCCACACAACGTCCTGCCAGACGTGAATCCGGTAAATTTTACTTACAATGAGCTCGAAACGGCTACTAGAGGATTCAAGGAAGAACTGGGAAGTGGTGCTTTCGGAACTGTTTACAAAGGGGCTCTAGCCAATGAAGGTACACCCCTCATTGCAGTAAAGAAGTTAGACAAGATGGTCGGAGAAGGCGAGCAGGAATTCAAGACAGAAGTGAAAGTTATTGGCAAAACAAATCACAAGAATTTGGTCCAACTTCTCGGATTTTGTAACGAAGGGCAACATCGACTTCTGGTCTACGAATACATGAGCAATGGTTCCTTGTCAAACTACCTATTTGGAGATTCAAGGCCTAATTGGTACCAAAGAATCCAGATTGCCTGTGGTGTAGCGAGAGGGCTTCTTTACCTCCATGAAGAATGCTGCTCCCAGATAATCCATTGTGATATCAAGCCTCAAAATATCCTTCTCGACGATTCTCTTAACGCAAGAATTTCTGATTTTGGACTAGCCAAGCTGTTGAAGACAGACCAAAGTAAGACTACTACCGCAATCAGGGGGACAAAAGGTTATGTAGCTCCTGAATGGTTCAAGAACATGCCTGTTACAACCAAAGCAGATATTTACAGCTTTGGCATTCTGTTGCTAGAGCTAGTTTGCTGTAGAAAGAACTTTGAGATTGATGTGACGCATCGAGATCAGATAGTTCTTTCAGACTGGTCATATGATTGCTTTAAAGAAGGAAGGTTGGACCTTTTAGTAGAAGAAGATGAAGAAGCATTGGAAGACATGAAAAGGGTAGAGAGGTTTGCGATGGTAGCAATTTGGTGCGTTCAGGAGGATCCATCTTTACGACCTGGAATGAAGAAAGTTTTACAGATGTTAGAAGGAGCTGTTCAAGTCTCCATTCCTCCTGATCCTGCATCATTTATCAGCACAATTTGAATCCTTTTACTCATATTTCTAGTTGTTAAGGCCAACGAATGTAACCTATCTACCTTGTATTGATTATTACTTGTTCCAATAAATTCATACATGATCTAGATCAAATTCTCTTTTCAGACTCCAAATTTTAACTCAAATGATCACTTCTTCAACTTGTCCAATTTGAATAACAGATGGTAAGGACTAACCATAATATTAAGCTTTGAAAGGTGATAGTAGACACGTGCGAACTTCACGGAGTTAACTAACACAAACGGAAAATATATGTTGGAGTAATTTTGTTTCACATTGTAAACGTTTGGGATAAAAATAAAAGTTATAGGGCTGAATCGATAATGGAGTCTTGAGGTTTCCCCTTATTTTCTGCCTCTGTAGATTCACCAATATTCTACTTCCATCCCTATAATTTAAAATTTTAAAATTGCACCCTTCTAGTTTATAGAAAAAATCAAATGTTACCAACTTACTTTCCTTCAAATGGCCTACCATTTTTAATTTAGTTTTTTATTGTTTTAAGTTTCTTTATTTTATATGTTTTTAATTGGAAATAATTAAATAAAACTAATTAATATTCATTAAAAAAAACTAAAATGGATACTACAGGGGTAATATTGTGATATTTAAGATTATAGGGATACAAGTGAGATATTTGTAAAACTATAAGGGTAAAAATATAGTTTACTAATACTCTGATTTTCGAATTCTGACCGCTTCCATCCTTAACCAGCAAAGAACAGTAGCTATTGTCCTCATGAAAGCACTTCATCAATGCTGTGCCTCTCTAAGATCCAAGCTATAGTTTGAATCAGTGTATACAGTGCTCTTTGTCTTATGTTAATCACACAATGTTTTCATTTGCTAAATAGATTCATGAGTTTGGTCCTAAAATGGGGATTAATCAAAGATTATACATGATAATGCAAACCCCATTTTTGGTGTCAAGAAGCAACATTTCATTAGACCCTATTGTTGTTTTGCTCAAGAAGTGCTTAAAGTTTAAAACTTTAAGAGGTGGGAAGCAAGTTCATGCTTGGTTAGTAACTAAAGGGATTGATTTGAGAATATCGTCACTGAATTCAAAGCTTGTTGGCATGTATGCGAGTTGTGGAGACATAAAGTCAGCTACTTTAATCTTTAAAAGCATTCAAAACCCAAATGTTTTTGCATTGAATTGGATGGTTTTAGCCTCTGCATTTGAAGGGTATTATAAAGAGGCTATAGGGTGCTTCTGTTCAATGAAAGATTCAATTTTCATTTACAATAAGTACACTTTCTCTATTGTTTTGAAATCTTGTGTTGGTTTATTGGATATGAATAAAGGAAAGGAGGTTCATTGTATGGTTAAACAATTGGGTTTTGAACGTGATGTTTGTGTGGCCAATGCTTTGGTAGATATGTATGGTAAATGTGGGTGTGTTGGTTATGCACGTAGAGTGTTTGATAGAATGGTTAAGCGAGATGTTGTTTCTTGGACTTCGATGATTTCTGGGTATTGTAATGTAGGGAAGATTGAGGAAGCTCTTGTTTTGTTTGAGAGAATGAAGTTGGAGGGATTGGAACCGAATGTTTTCACATGGAATGCTATGATTTCGGGTTATGCTAGGAGAGGAGATAGTGATGGAGCATTTTCTCTTCTGTCGAAGATGACTAGAGAAGGGTTGATTCCTGATTTGGTTACTTGGAATGCAATGATTGCAGGTTTCGTTCAGGGGGAGAGAGCAGGTGATGCTTTCAAGTTGTTTCAAGACATGTTAGTTTTAGGGGTTAAGCCTAATCTTGTGACTGTTACAGGCTTGCTGCCAGCATGTGGGATGATTAGTTCAATACGACAAGGTAGAGAAATCCATGGATTGATATATAGAATGGAGTTTGATATTACTAATGCGTTTGTTGCGAGTGCTCTCATTGACATGTACTCAGAATGTGGCAGTGTTGAAGAAGCAAGTACTGTATTTGAGAAGTTCCATAACAAAAATGCTGCATCATGGAATGCTATGATTGGATGCTATGGTAAGCATGGGATGGTGGACTCGTCGATAGAGTTGTTTGAGAGAATGCAGGAAGAAGGAATTAAGGCAAATGAAGTGACTTTGCTTTGCGTTATTTCTGCTTGTAGCCGTAGTGGTTATGTTGAGAAAGGTTTGGAAATTTTTTGGTCCATGAAAGAAAGGTATATGGTTGATCGTAAGAAAGAGCATTATGCTTGTGTTGTTGACATGTTGTCTCGTTCTGGAAGGCTAGAAGAGGCCTACAAATTGGTGAAAGAAATGCCAGTAGAAGTCACAAAATCAATTGCTGGAGCTTTCTTCAAAGGATGTACGATTCATGCAAGAGAAGATTTGGCTGAAAAGATGATAGATGAAGTTACAAGAGCGGACTTGAAAAAACTTGGATCATTTGCAATGCTGTCAACAATTTATGCTACCAATGGTGAAAGGGAAGACATTTTTAGCAACATAAAGAAGATCATGAAAGAAAGAAAAGTACACAAGGAGCCTGGCTTTAGTCAGGTTGCGGAGAAGGATGAGATTGTCAAAGTTGAAATAGGAAAAGGAAATGACGACATTGAAGCAGGTATATTCTCCAATGCTATGTAATGTCTCATAGTCATCAAATGTACCTCTGTCAACTTAGGATTTAAGTTTTCTAATCGTTGTATCAGTAAGTTCTTTTTTTACAGACAGCTTTTAAAGTAGCATTTATTGTTGAAATGGCTCAAATCGAAGAGTAAAGCGAGAATTTCTGACTTAGATTCTTACAAGTTTCGCTTTTCCTTCATGGCTAGTAACTTGATCACGCATTAATTTTCATAATTCAGCATTTCACATGGCAGTGACTTCTGAGTTTCTGTTTTATTTTTCTCCAATTACTTGGAAAAAAAAAAAAACAGATTCTAATTGACTGCCAAACAAACAATAGACTTAACATTTCCAAATTAAAGTTCCTCGAAAAAAGGAAATCACATTGCTGATTTGGCATTCATCCAACAGTTGCTGAGACTTCGCCCCGAATCTAATGTAGTTCTGATATATATTCCTTGTGTGCAGACCAAGTTATAGCAGCACAGTAAGCTGATGAAGACTCTAAAGAAGCACACACAGTCGAAGTTGGGAGACATACTAGCATCACTTCCTCACTTTTGGTTGGAGTTACCAAATTTGGTCAGTGTTTCTGAACTTCCAAACGTAACCGTTGCATGCTAAAAACTGCAGAGTCATAACTAATAACCAAAGCATTTCCATGAGAGTGCTGTGCTCTTACATGTTGTATCACTGATGATTCTTTAATCACTTGAGATTGTATATACCTTACAGTTTGTAATCTTTCCTTTGGCCATTTGATCAGGAAGCCCTCGAATGTTTTACTAAATCTATTGTAACCTTTCATGTAGTTCCATCTTATATATATATTCTGGTTAGTTTTTACTAGACCAGTGAGGCAGAATTATCCTGGAAATACAGGTGACTGAAAAGAAAAAAAGAAACGTACTTCAAAAACCCAAGTTCAGGATTAGCAATAGTTTTGGTGAGTAAATAATCAATTAGTCCCTTTATTTTCGAGAAAAAGAATTAATTTTCTCTTTTTATTTAAAAAACTAGTTATTAGTTTCTATATTTTAAATTTCTTAATACTTTTAGTTATTTTCAATTTATTTTGATATTAAAAAAAGTTGAAAAAATAAAAACTATGAGAAAATATAACTTTTTTGAAATAAAATAATATTAAATTAAGCATGGTCAATACTGTTAATAGACTAAATAATTATTTTTTTATTTAAAAGCAAGAAAAACTAATAAATTTGTTTCTTAAAATAGAGGGACTAATTTATAATTTACTCTAGTTTTGATTGGGCCAGGAGTTGAAGGTGGGATTAACTGATTAAGACTGCCAAGCCCAAAGAAAAAGTTTTGATTGAGCAATGAACACCAGTTGTATTTGGGCCATGACCAGAATGCTTGGCAGTCACAATTCATCATGTCCCGAGGCCAAAATTCATTCACCGATTCTACTTCCTTTTTTTTTTTTTTTTCCTTTCTTCCTTGGTTGATCGAGAACTTAATTGGATTTTGAACTACATACAAAAAATCTCTTTTTCTTCTTGTTTCATTTACAAAAACAATTGGATATACAACCGTTAGATCGATAAGTTTCTTGGATTTTAAACTACATAATAAAAGATAGCTTTTTTTGAAAACTATTCGACATAAGACCGGTAGATTATACATGTTTTATTCAATCAATCTAACAAATTATTAGTGTCACTTTGTAAAGATCGAGCAACTTTTCACCGAATATGCTATAATGTGAAAAAAGAATGAAAAAAATTATAGGTCTTATTTTGTGTTCAGTCATGGTCAAGTAGGCTTCAAGAAATTCAAGACTATTTGTTGGTAACGAATTGTTAGACAAGACATGGAGAAAAGGAAATTTTGAAAGAGAAATATGGGCTGAAAAATGGTCCAAGCATCTTGTATACCAAAAACAACTAATCATTTTCATTTGTCTAATATTACATGAATTTAGCCGAAGTCTATGATTATTCCTCTAATATTCTTTGGTATGAATCTTACGATGTTATATCAATATCATATGATCTGTGTCATCTGTAAAAATACTGGTTATCTTTATGAAAAACAAAACGATTATTTTAAATATCTTACGTTGATATTGTAGCATTTTTTGTTTATTTTTTATTTTATTTAAAAAAATAGATCTTATGGAAAGATTAATGAGGAAAAAAAAAGAAGATAATTTTGAAATAAAATATTATTAAATTAAACGTAGCCAACACTAATTTTTTTTTCAAAAAAAATAATTTTTGAGATAAAATTAACTAATTAATTCATTTATCGAAACTACGGAGACTAATTTAGAATTTAATTTCAAAATCTCTATGAACTAATTCTTGTTCAACCGTACAGAATTGATTGAACAAAACTAGATATTATAGAAAGATTAATGAGAAAAAAAGATAATTTTGAAATAAAATAGTATTAAATTAAACATAACCAATACTAATTTTAAAAAAATAAATAAATAGTTTTTGAGATAAAATTAACTAATTAATTCATTTATCGAAACTACAGACACTAATTTATAATTTAATTTCAAAATCTGTATGAACTAATTGTTGTTCAACAGTACAGAATTGATTGAACAAAGTAAAAGCTAGAATACTTAAATAAAAAAAATTAAGAAAATTTATCTACTCAAAACATATTTTTCTCATTTTCGCCACATCAACGTTGCTATTACACTTATCAATTTTTAGTGCCCCAACGAGCTAAAAGAAAGTCAAAAGTTTTGAGTTAGAGTCTGTCTTGAAATTGGTATACAATAGTGTATGCACGCACCATTATATGTTGAGAACAAGCTGTCAAGATTATGACTTTCTTGAGCAATCTTTGGACATATTTGGTTGTCATCCATTACCTGAAATGTCAAGCTAGGTTTAGACTTTCTCTGTTAAACACGTCTAAAATTTGTGGCTATAACTTGATACTGTGGGTTTAAATATGTCCTCATGTTTGACAAATTAATCTTTCTTGTAATTATGAGTGTAATCCTTAAATTAAGTCCTTCTGGTTTCATGTTTTTACAATTCTTTTTTCTATTTATTTTTTTATTTTACTCGGGTATTTCATTTAACATTAAAGATAAGACTAATTATATTCGAAGCGAGAGCGACAAGATTTAATCTTTCTTAATAAATACAATTTTAAAATTTAAATCCTATGCATCAATAAAAAATTTATCTAAAAACCAATTTATTAATCATTGGATTAATAACTTATTAATTTTTATATTTACTTTAAAATTTAAAATTTAAGAAAGAATCATCTTATGATATGATTTCGATTAGCTCGTGTAAAAGTTTTTTGAATAATGTTACATGTCGAGACATAAATTTTTTATTTGAAATTTAACTTTATACATACCAAAAACTATAAGATTATTCTTTTCATTTTGAGGTGATGAAATGGATCCTGGTTCACGATGGTATGCTTAACACATGCAAGTTGGACGAAAGAAACTATTCTTAACGATCAAAACAAACTCTTTCGTTTGAAATTAGAAAACTTAAAGAGATAAGGTAGATTTGATCTACTAATATTCACTAAAAAGTAAAAAAAAAACAAATAAAAGCATTCATTAATTTTTTTTATATATATCTTACGTCTATAATATTTTTGCTAAAAATAAATAAATAAATCGCATAGAAGAGATATCGTTTTTTTTTTTTTTTAACAAAGTTCTCTCAAGCACAAAAGAAAAAAAAGGATTTATTAAGAGTGTGGAAATCTTAAAGTCGTCCGTTTTCTGATTTCTTCTTGTGTTAAGAAATTTCATGTTGAACCCTATCAATATCTCTTCTGTCTATTCAATATTCAAAAAACAATTGCCTTAAATAATTATTTACTTGTAATTATCGATTATCCATTCTAAGATATGACTATTTTTTTTAAATTATCTCTCAATCTTTCTTATAAATCATTCGATTTTATCGCATTATAACAACATCAAGTAATCAATAATAATTTAAAGCATTGGTCACCAAATAAAAATTGCTTATAGGATTATGTCATTTTAAAGTTGCATAAATGGAGAGATAGGAAGGAGATAAGAATCATTTTAGTTGCTTAATCTATCAAAAGGCCTTATGATCATAACAAATTCTGACTTCATCTTTAAGCAAAGAACAAAAAGAGTTCAATACAATTTATATATCATTTCTAATTATGTTCTTCAATCTTTTTTTTTTTCCTTTCTTTTTTAGCTTTCTTGGATAGGGCATAACAGTCACAATAGGAAACCATGATATTAGTAGAGTTTCTATATTAATTTATTGCAGGGAGGAAAAACAAATCAAATCAAATTATTGTAATTTCAAAATACTTAGCTGTAAAAAAAATATTGATAAAATAAAAAGTTAAATAAAATTTTATGAAATTGTCAGAACTTAAAATGCTTTCATATATGAGATTAATCAAATGTAGATAAAATAATTATTTAAAAAACAGTGACAGAATTCGAATATGAGACATTCATGGGGAATGAACCTTTGAATCTTTTTCTAGCCCTCCAAAAACCGCCTCCTTGGAGTCGGAGGCACAGTTTTTCTACTGTGACAAAGAATAGAAAAATAAAAGAATTTGAAAGGGTTGGTTTAGATTTCAAGGAAACAAACACATGTAAAGAGATAGATAGCATAGACGAGTAAATTATAAATTAGTCTCTCTATTTTGAAGAAATGAATTAATTGATCCTTTTGGTTTCAAAATCTAATTATTTAATCCATATATTTTTAAATTTTTATCTTAAGAAATTAAAAAGAAAAAAATTATGGCAAGAATGATGAAAGAAGATGAAAATTTTGAAATAAATTAATATTAAATTAAACATGATTAACAGTGGTCAAGAGATTAAATAATTAATTTTTGAAAAAAAGTTAATTAATTCGTTTATAAAAATTAGAGGGACTAATTTATAATTTACTACAGCAAAGACAAAAGTTCCATGTTTTTGAACTTTGAACTTAAACATGATACCGAAGAAGTTTCATAGTATATTAAAAAGTACACAAAAGTATGTCCACTACTAACTAACATAGTAATACTTGACCTACACTTACCATAATACCCTCCAAATTCAATTTTCGTACACTTACCTCCCTACTCAGAGAGAGAGAGAGAGAGAGAGAGAGAGAGAGAGAGATTACATCATAACATAGTGTACAGAGAGTCACACACACAGACTCAGGGACCAATCAACAAAATATCTATCAACTCTCCTCTCTGTCTCTCGCTCTCTCTCTATCTGCCTCTTTTCTTTGTCTTTCATTTTGGCCGTGTTTGTTTCTGAGACACACCACTTATAGCTGTGCTTGGTACTTTTGTTTTTGCAAATCTTGGAATCTCAATGTTTCGTGATCTGGGTATCAAGTATTTCTTCTTTAGATCATAGTTTAGTATTAAAAATCTTTGCTTTTGTCCCTATAAGAGAAAAACCCATCTGGGTTTTGGTTTTTTTTTTTTTTAGTGCCTTTGCTTTCTTTAACAGATTCAAAGTAATGGGTTTCATGTCAAAGTCGCAAATAAGGTTTGTTCAATATCAGGTTAGTTTCGTTTAGCTCTTCTGCTATTATTATTATTTTTTTTTTTGACGTTCTTGTTGTTGTTGTTGTTGTTTTTGGTTGGTGTTTTAGTTTTTGATGTTGCGGGTTTTGAGTAGCTACTTGAGATTGTTTTTGATGATTAGTGGAGCTCTACTATGTCTATATATTGTGAAAGTTGTGATTTTTATGCTTTTGATGGATCTTACCTTGATTTGTTTTAAAGAGATTTATGTGGGTTTGGAAAGTATTGTGAGTTTGGATTCTTTGATTCATCAGTTTTCAAGGTATCAAATTAGTGAGCCTTAATTTTGAGTTGCTACTGCATAGATGTGTCTTTTCTTCTTGATTTCACTTTCACTGTTATTTATGTTATCGAGTTTCTTGCTATTGGAAGCTATGTGATATCTGCCTCAATCTTTTTGTCTAAAATACCTTAAGTTTTGTTTGCTTTTGCATGTTTTGATTTGGATTTAGAGATGGATGTTTTCTTTGTTTTATTGTTAATGGACATGAAAAAAACTAGGCTTGTACTTGGTTGATTCTGATGAAGTGATTGTCTTTAAGAAATCGAGTATTTCAGCCTGTGAGATTGAGCACGCATTTGATAGGGGAAAAAAAAAAAAAAACTGATTTGTAATTGTGTTGCTCCTTTGTCTTGTCTTTGGAACCAAATAGGATGTAAAGCTTATGTTTTTACCATGAAATGAATCTTCAGCTTCGTATCTGTAGTTCTGTTCTTGTTTGGGGCTTCTGAGCAGAGAAAATGGCATTTGGCCTCTTTGTGTAATAGTTATTGAAGGGAAGGGAGTTATCATACGAAGTTATGCATATAAGATAAGTGAAACCATGTAAGCATTTGGAATCTTAAAAATGATGTCATGCATTTATTATTTCAAGTGTTTGGAAGGTAGTGTGAAGTCATCTTTGAAAACATGTCTGGATTTAGACACAAGGTTTTATGTTAGTGACAGCAGTGGAGGTGGGTTGGTTAGTCTTGAAATTATTCATTTTATTAAGCCCCTCTGATCTGAAGCTTTGTAATGCATGCTTCTTCTCGGCTGGCATGATATGTGAACTCTGCTCAGCTTGTTCATTCTTGTGAAATTACTGGTTGTGCTTCTTACCTTTGAATTTTTGTAATCAAAAGCTTAACTTTTGTTTCTCTGATTTGACAGAAATATTTTTCATCTGTATGAGTTTTTCTTTCACGGAGTTGTAGAATTATGGGCAGAGGCAGGGGTAAGGGAAAGAAGTTGACTGTTAGCAATCATGATGACACTGGAAGTGGCGAGGAAGAGAAAATTCCAGCACAGAAGAGAAGAGGACGACCACAAAAACCGCTGAAAGATGACATTGATGAGGAAGAAGTTGAAAAAATTGAAGACGAAGAGGCAGAGAATGGAAAAACTGGTATCGCAAGCAAAGAGGCAAAAAGTCCAACGGCTGTGGAAAATGGAAAGAAGAGGAAGCGATATTCACAGGCAAAGGAGAAACAAGATTCAGTGAAGGAAGAGAATGGCGTTGGAACTAGATCAAGTACTGATGACTCAACTAAGTCTAATGGTTTTCGACATAATGGAAGTAGGCGGAAAAACAAACCTCGTCGTGCTGCTGAAGCAGGCGTGGAATGTAAGTGAAGCCAATTGTTGGCTTTTGCAGTGGGTCTCTTCTTTTGATGACTTTCTGGATAAATTATATAGGAATTGAGGCCTAGTAAAATCTCTAGTTTCATTTTGAATTTTTTGGTTTATTATTCTGGTTGTCTTTTTGCCATTCCCTTTTCATTTTAATCGGGAGTTTTGTACTGCCTGTAATTCTCACAATGCTATTATGTTTCATACCAGCACCGGGTTCCTCTATCCTATGATTTGCACAACATGCTTGGCCTGTTGAAATGTCTTTTTCTTTCTATTATTTTATCTTCCTTCCAACTTATAATAACATCATCGCGTAGATAATCTCACTGCCGCATGTCAAACTCGTCGGAGCAGTTGAAATGGCAGGGAAGTCTGTTCATAGAAAAATTATGCTGTTCTTTCTTACTTCTGTATAATTCAGCATGTGATCTGAAAAAAAGAACCTCTCAAATTGTCATTCTTCCTGTCATGGCATTTTCTTTAGCTGGCTTCAGTTGATGGATTAGAGGGTATCAGATTGCGGCAAGTAGCAGAATTTTGCATCCACCTTTTGACGTGGTATTGACTGTTAGGCTAACCTGCTTTGCATATGTATTTCCTACCTTTTTTTCGCCTTCTAAATGCTTGATCCATTGATAGTGCAGTTGTGCTTGCTTGGCAGGTCTATAGCTTCTTAATTACGTTTCATAAATTATAAATACATTACCTTGCCCCAGCAAAAGAGATGATGTAGGTATGACTTTGGTCTTTGTCTTTTGTGTTTAAGAATTTGCTCAAGTTTGTCCATAGTTGAAGATTCTTATCATCTTTCATTACTTTATTCAGGAGTGTTAGTTAAAGACAAAAAGTTTAGAAAGTGTTCATGAGAAGTTTCTGTGGAAAAAGCCAGTTATCAGTGGCGATGAAGCTGAGAAATTTGAATGGATAACGTGAAAATCATAAGCATCTGACCAAAGGTTTGTAACTTCCTATTGATTGCATTAGTACCATGTAAGAAACCTAACATCTTGAAGAGAAACACAGCCATGTAAGAACCCTAACATCTTGAACAGAAACACAGCCTGATAGGGTACAATTGTGCTTCATGTTCAATGAATTTTGGCCTTTGATGGAAGTAGTCAGCATGTATGATTCACAAGTTGTAGAAGTTCATGAGGTGCCCAGAAGATGAGGCTACGGAAGATACCTTCACTTCGTAACCTTATAGCTTGAATCCTGTGACCCCTGGCTCCTGTCAGACTTGTTTCTTTCCTTTTAAGATTCATCTAGTCTTCTTGCTTTTGGCTTGGAAATCCTAGTAGTACTGTTTTATTACAAACTTTTGCGTAAATAACTCAAATCTGTTTATGTATTTATATAATAGCTTAAGTTTTCAATTTGGCTTTATGTTTTTAATTGTATTTATTATATTCCTGAATAATGATAAAGTTTAAAATATGTCTTTGCAAGCAATTTTTTCGATCATGAATAAATTTTTTAATCGAAATGTCTCTGATTAAAAAAAAAAAAAATCATTATTTTACATGACTTGCATGTTATAAAAAAAAATTGTTTTTTTTTTTTTCAGAAAAATGGATCAGAAGAACATCGGTTGAAAATCAAACTATTATATAAAGATAAATATATTTCAGAATTTTTTACTCTCAACTCTTATCAGGATATTTCTTGTGGATTGAATCCATCAATTTATTGTTTTTTTGTTGAACCAATTTGGTTGTTTGGAGGGGTAATAGAGTATGTCCTTACATTAGTTTTCTTGAATAATTAATGATTCATAATATTCTCTAGGTGGGTGGGTTGCCCTACCCAGACTTTTATTGGGCAACCACCAAAACAAGCTTAGATGTTCAGACTGCAAACTGCTTTCAACAGCTCATTTCCATGCATTTTTACATCAATTAAATTCATTGATGGTGCAAAATAGTATCAATAGAAGCTATTTGTTGACTGACCAAATAGTTCAAAAAAAAAAAAATAGTAATACTTAAAAGGCATATTGGTTGGACTTTGGAGCAATGCTAAGTTTACCAAAAATGACAAACATTGAATTTATGAGACCTTCTAGTATGATGGGATCAACTCATTCCATAAATGAGATTTTTCAAGAAGTGATTTTTGAAAGAATGGTGAATAGTTCTTTGCAGTAATTATTGAATAGATCCCGAAAGGTTTAAGTTTTCTATTAATAGATGGTTAAATTTTAAAATACTTTTTGAATTTGAGCGAAAAAAACAAATATCTTCGTAAAAAAAAATTTAATTTTACTCTCTAAACAATATGATTATTTGAATGTATTCCTTCTACTAGGGTTTCATTGAGAAATTAACGAAAAAAATCATAAAAATTATTTTAATTTCTATCCTTTCCTCTAGCAATTTAGAAGAAAAAAAAATTTACTAACAGAAAAAAAGGAGGAATTGAGAGCAATTTTAAAAGTTTTTCGTCAATTTCCCAATGAAATCTTGATAGTAACGACAAATTCAAAAAATCATATTATTTATGAGAAAAATTAAGAATTTTTTAGTTTAGAAAGTAATTTTTTTGGGATCAAGTTCAAGAGTATTATACAATTTAGTATTAATAGATATGTTTTGGTGATTTTAGTTGGAGAGATGGCAATCAATTGAGAATTTGTATGGCCATGAAAACTCTTTGAAGTAAAAGAGGAGGAAGACAAGAAGCTTGACATTTATGGGCCAAGAGCCTGTTAAGGTAGTGATAATAATTTTTGAAGCCATTTCAACTCATTTGGGCCTTATGGATTCCCTAAAAGGGTAAAATAATTTGTCATGGAAGCTGGGTTACCATTAATTGGAGGGATAAAAATTAATAACTTAAGCTCAAATTGGGCCATAAGCCATCTGATAAAAGATTCAAGTCTATTGGGCTAATTTCATAAAAGATTGAACTACTCTTGCAAATCCAATATTTTGGCCCTTCCTCTTATTGCTTGTTGGGGCTATTCTCCAGTCCTTAGGCTTCATCTTTGTTCGTTGTAATTTTTTTTTTTTTTTTATTCTCAGGGTTTTTAGAAATAAATTAATAATTTTTTTCTTTAACACATAATTATTTATTTTTTATATTTTTAAATTTTTTTCTTAATTTTATTTTTTACTTTTTCTGTTTTGGGAAATAATTTTTTTCAAATAATCAAAATTTGTATTTCTCAATTTTTAATGGTTATTAATTATTTTTTGATAAACATTTCAATTATTAATTTTTTCAATTTTTTTTTAAAATTTTGTATAGATTTTTTAAAATTTATTAATTAATAATTATTGTAGAATCATTAAAATTTAAAAAAAAGAATTTCTTTAGAGTTTTTTTTAGAAAAAAATATTTAATATAAATTTATTAAAAACTAAAAAAAAAATCTTATTATTTTAAAATTTTTCTTCAGAATTTTTTTTTCAATTTTTTATAATTTTATAATATTCCTAATTATTTTAACTTATATAATAAAAAAAAACTTATTTTAAAAGAAAATTATGTTTTTATCTTTAAGTTGACATGTGCCATCATTTGGTTAGTCTGATGTTAGTCAACTAAAGAAATTAATCAATTTGATTAGTCAACTAACAAAAATTGATCAATTTGATTGAAAAAGTTAATGAATGATTTGTTTTGCACCAATGTTCAATAGTAGAAAAATTTATTATTAGTCATATCTAAATAGAAGAGTTGAAATGATATTTTTGAGCTAATACAAGGACACCACAAAAAAGAGAGTAAAAAATAGGAAAGTATTAATAAAAAAATGTCATTTTTTGAAATAAATTAATATTAAACTAAATATTTCAATATTAATTAATGAATTTTTTAAAAAAAAAACACTAACCAATTAATTCGTTTTTTTAAAAAAACAGTGGGACTGATATTTAATTTACTCGCTTTTAGCCTTTAAAAAAAAAAAAAAAAAAAAGGAAGGAGACTGAGATTATGGGCCAAGAGCTTGTTAAGATAGCGATAATAATTTTGAAGCAATTTCAATTCATTTGGGCACCATGGATTCACTAAAAGTTACTATTAATTGGAGAGATGAGAATAAATAACTCAAGCTTAAATTGGGCCATAAGCCATCTGATAAAAGATTCAAGTCCATTGGGCTAATTTCAAAAACGATTAAACTACTCTTGCAAGTCCAATATTTAGGCCCTTCCTCTTATCGCTTGTTGGGGGCTATTCTCTAGTTCTTAGGTTTCATCTCTGTTGGCATTTCAAAAAAACGAATTAATTAATTCCTTTTGCTTTAAAAAATAATGATTTAATTTTATATTTTTAAAATTTTCTTATAACTTAAATTTTTTTTATTTAATAATAAAAAATATAAAATAATTGTGAAAAAAAAGATATTTTTTTGAAATAAATTAATATTAAACTAAATGTAGTCAACTCTGATTAATAAACTAAACAATTAATTTTAAAAACAATATAAAATAATTATTTAAAAAAAAAATAAAGAGACCAATTTTTATTTACTCGCTTTTAGCCTCTATTTCTAAAAAAAAAAAAAAAGAAAAAGAAAAAAGAAAAAAAGACTGTGGTGGTGTGGGGTATTCATTTTTTAAGGTTTCTAAGTTTTTTTTTCATTCCCTATATTTTTCAAAATCTGCCTCTTTTGACGAACTTTCAATTTTTTTTCTTAAATTATAATATATATTTTTTGAGAGGTATTTACGTGAGAAAAGGTGATTAAAAAAAAAAACCATCGGATAATTAATATGTAAATGTACAAGGATGTGATTGATTGATTTTAAACCTTGGGGACATAATATAGAATAACCGTAATATATAAATACGAATGGATTGATTAATTAAAAGTTGGGATCTCATCTCACAGTTTTCTTAGATTTGAGGATATATGTATATATTAAGTTTGTTATTTCTCTTTCATTAAATTAATCTTTACAGTGGATCACATGCATGAGTGATTTTTAAGCTTGGCTTCTGACATCTTCTTGAAATTTTAAGAGCCTTTAAGATATCTCACTGGATAAGTGAGAAAATTATAAATTAGTCAATCTAGTGTTATAAAATAAATTGAATAATCCTTCTGGTTTTAAAAATTCATTAATTAGTCTTTTTATTTTATTTTATGTTGTTTTCTTTTTTTTAAAAAAAAGGCAAATAACATGGAAAGATTGATGATGGAAAAAACAAACAAACATGTTATGAAATAAAATGATATTAAATTAAGAATTATTAATGATGATCAAAGAATTAATTAATTAATTTTTAAAACTAGAATGACTACTGTAAAAAGGCATCGTTTTAAAAAAAAAAAAGCCAAATGGGTTATCAAATCTTATATGTTAGATGTAATATACTTTTAGAAAAAATTCACTTCAATATTTCTGTATATATTTATGTTTTTTCTCACATATATATGATATAAAGTTAATTTTCAATATATTAAGAAGGTTTGATCCTTCTATTGATTTTTTGAGTGCAAACATTGGAATTACCACTTGAAAGAATTTGTTTTCTTCATTGCACTAGGCAAGTATGCATATGCATCGTTGTGATGAGAAAATTTAATTTTGATTGACAAACAAATTGATTTAAAAATAACCGTTACTATCGAAGAAAAAAATGTCTATGAAAAATTATTGTGTACATTCTCCCATAAATCACTTTGATTATGAATTTTCACTCCTATTTGTCCTTCTGTATTCAC